TATAATATATATATATATATATATTATATATATATATATATACATACATAAATATACATATATATTATATATATATATATATAATATATATATAATATATATTATATATATCGAAGTATATTTCATATATATATATATATATATATATATATATATATATATATATATATATATAATATACATATACGTAAATTAATACTCTTTGTCTTTTTCTGGATCTTCGATTATAATAAAATAAAAATCAATTCATCTAATACAAATAATACTGCAAAATGCAACTAATACATCTCTTGTATCTCCATATTCTACAATCTCTGTATATCTGCAACCTCGTCCTGAAATTAAAGCAACATGCACACATACAGTAAAATCCACACAACAGAATATAACATCAACATAAGTTATTCACAATATTTATAACAGGATAGAGTTTCGTAATGCACTATGTCTATGAGGTACTAAAAGCTACATTGGATTTAATAAAATAAAACAAGGAAATACATTAAACATTAGATTTCAAAAAGTTCACTTACTGTTATGCAGGTTTCTCTTCCAAGGGAATGAGCAGAGGTATAACTACGTTAATTGCCATTTTCACTTTTTATTTTCCGTTTTATATCTTTCGCCTTTCTGTCTTTCCCTTTTTTCTTCTTTCTCTATTCACTATTTCGCTCTCTTTTTTATCTTTTTCACTCGTTTATTTTCTCTTTTAATCTATTGTTTATGTATTTTTCATATATCTTTTAGAGTTTTCATGTCAAAATTGGACGTATTTTTTCGTTTAAGATTTATTCTATTACGAATAAACTTTTTGCGAGTATTGCATTTTGTATTTTTATTTTGCTGCAGTCAGTTCCTTAATTACTTCATAATTAGTCACTTAATGAGTTTCGGCATCCCTGATATTTGAACATTGTTCATATATCAGCATTATTCATAATTGCTTAAATTGTTCAAACCTTACCACTATAACATTGTTAATATTGGTCAAATATTGACGTTGTTCATTAATATTGCTTACATTCTTACATTAAATAGGTTGAAATGTTAAAGACTGAACATCCCAACTGTTCAGACTATTGTTCACACATCAAGACTTTAACGTTAACGATGGAACTTTATTCATAGCATTCAGACATTAACACTGGAACGTTGTACCTAGAGACGATTTTGTCCCATTGTTCACTCAACTTAAAAAGCAATATTGTACCATTGCTCACACTCACTCAGCTTAAAGATTGATATTGTACACTGGTCACTCAGCTTAAAACTATATTGTTCCATTATACACTCAGCTTAAAGATCGATATTGTTCATTGGTCACTCAGATTCAAAAACGATATTGTACCATTGGTCAATCAACTTAAAAACAATATTTCACATTAGCCACAGCTTAGAAACCAATATTGTTCCACTGTTCACACAGCTTAAAAAAACGATATTGTTCCACTGTTCACTCAGCTGAAGTCTCTTTAAAAGCCGCCCTCAGCCACAATCTGCAAAGAAAACGAAACAGATTCATTAAAGCGGAGACTGCAGAAAATTAATTTAGTGTTGAACTTTCTCGACCTCTGACTCGTGCTTCTTCTTCTTCTTCTTCTTGTGGACTAAAACGTATTGGATGCATTAGAGTGCGTGCGGTGGCTGAGAAAATGTTCCTTTCTCCGAGATTGCAACTCTTCCTCCACTGACAAATATATAGAAAGAGAAAAAATACGATAAACACTTTTAGTAATCACGCAATATCTCAGATAGCGAAAACAAACAACAAAAAAAGAAGGACCGTAAACAAAAATAGTTAATAAATATTTTAATTCACGACTATATTTTTTTCTGAATTATTAGCACTCATTAGCATAATAAACAATGGTAGATATTCAGTCAGCCGTAATGATAATGCAAAATTATATATACAATGATTGTTATTAGTAAAATTTGGTATTTGCATTTTACTGTATGCTACCAAGGGAATGTTTAATGAGCAGTTATCAATATTATCATCATTATTGCTATGATTATTATTGTTATCACACCATGATATTTATCATTATCATGATTATCATCATATCATTATCATCACTATGTGTTCTTGTTGCTACTATGATTAGTTATAGTTGTTGAAGTTGTAGTGATGGTAGCAGTATCATCATCATTATATATATATATATATATATATATATATATATATATATATATATATATATATATATATATATATGTATGTATGTATATATATATATATATATATATATTATATATATATATATATATATGTATGTATGNGTAAATATAGAATACCAGATTAGGTGCGATATGATACAAGTTTATTCTTGTAAATATAGGGATTTCAATACATGTGCTTTGGTACTTTCAGAGAAATTCAAAGGGAATTGGATATCAAAGTGGACGATAATATCACCCTTCCTCGTCGGATTCTTTGGATAGGGAAGACCGTATCCTTGGAGACGTCTGGTTGTTTGAGGTTTCGTCGTTTCCTTGTTAAAGTTGAGGGCGACCCGCTGACCAGTCAGGGTAGGAACGGAGACAAGAGTGCCACGCAGGGCATCGCGTAGAGGTATCTTGGCGGTATATACGAGGTTTGCTCCATCGCGCTTGAACAGAGGATGAGGTTTGTCTCTAATGATGAAGATGATGTCTGCGGGAATCTTCCCTGGTGACTGATCACCCTCTTTCTCGAAAATGATTTTGGTGCCTTCCTTCCACCCTGGCTTGACCTCGATGGTTAAGATCTTTTCCTCGCGCAGTGTCGACCGCCCGTCCGCCGTCAGCAGCACGTTCCTCGTGATCTTCCTCTTCTTGGTGACGCCCGTGAAGACCTCCTCTAGCGACACGTACAGGTCCCTGATAACTGCCGAGTCTTGGTTACGACCTTTGTTCTCGCGGAACCTCGGAGGGTCGCCATCCAGGCCATCAACGTCCATATTGAAAAAACGACTAAAAGGGTTATTATCGTGTGGGTTAAAACTGAAGGTCCTCCGAGTCTTTACACCCACGTGAGATCCCCCGCCAACCAACATGTCCTCAAACACGTCGTGAGTGCCATGGCCGTCCACACCCATATTGAAGAAATGACTAAAGGGGTTATTGGTGCCAAAGACTTGTTCGAAGGTGGCTCTAGGATCACCCGAGTATGTATAGGTGAAGTGAGTGCCACCGGTGCTTCTACCGCCTGGCATTCCACCCTTCAAACCTTCATCTCCATACTGGTCATAGATATTTCGCTTCTTCTTGTCACTCAGAACCTCGTAGGCTTCTGCGACTAATTTAAATTTTTCCTCGGCATCATTCGATTTGTTCTTGTCTGGATGATACTTGAGGGCCATATTTCTGTAGGCTCTTTTGATATCTCCTTCAGAGGCATCCTTGGACAGGCCGAGGATCTTGTAATAATCTTTGGCCATCTTCCTTGAAAGCGTTTTAATAAATAGTATATTTCACACACATGTATACATATATATACATATATATATATATATATATATATATATATATATGGATTTATAGTTTCAATATTCCTTCCATCTTGCCCAAAGCTTAGATAGTATAAAGGACAATATAAAACGAAAATAAAGTTTTAATTTTTTATGTTTTATTTTTATATCTGGAACAGTGATTATACTTATCTATCTAGTCTTACATTATATGTTAACCAATAACAAAAATTTAATGATTTATATCATTTATTATCTTATGATAACTATAAACAGTATTTGTTGATATATATATATATATATATATATATATATATATATATATATATATATATATTATATATTATATATATCTACATCAAGTGATAACTAGTATAAATTATATGATAATTTATATTACATCAAGTCATATCTATTACCTAATCTTTTCCTCTTAGCTTCTAAAACAGCTTCTTTCTTTTTTCTTTGAAACCGAGATATCATACAGATGCATTAGTTCTTGCATAGAAGTTGCTGTTTCCCACGTCTTGTCATCCCGTTCGCACTTTACTCTCGGGAACCTGATAGATATACCATGAGCCGTATGGTGATTCTGATTCTCCTGTTTGGTTATTTCGGCTCCAATAATTTCCCAAACTGGTGATCTTTTAGGGTCAATCACAACAAAATCCGGCTTCATATTCTTGTCCAGTTTCAGGTTATAATTTAACCCTATAGAGTTAAAGGCGTCATTATATCTCATCATATTTGACATCAATTGTCCCTGCAGGCGATTTAAAGTAGCATCGGTATGGCCCGTGTGCACCTTAGCCACGGTCCTCCATGCTTCACTCCTTTTGTCGTAGCATCCCATGAGAAATACTGACAATTTGCCTTTATTTTTGCCTGTCCCGTACCAACTTCCGAGTACTACCAAATCCAGCGTATCTGCCATGGCTCCTCCGTAGATAGAGTCCTTTTTGATCTTTAACCAGTGACGCTTGCCCGGCTCGTATTCCCCGTTGGCTTTTTTTAGCACCAGTCCTTCGAGGCCGTCACCCAAAACTCGCGAGATCATGTCTTCTAGTTCCGAAGGTTGTTCGATCTTGACCATTTCCGACAACATTATTCGATTCTTCTGTTTCACCATATTCTCCTCCAGCATTCTTCTGCGTTCACACATCTTCATTTTCATGAGATCCTCTCCGTTATATAATAGCAAATCAAAGACAAATAGGCATGGGTTTGCATTCTCGTGTTTTTCCATCTCCTTTCTTCCCAATGTACCAAAAGGTAAGGGCATGCCCGTTTCATTATCCATCATCACCAACTCGGCATCTAATATATATTCGTCAGATTCGGGAAAGGCCATCGGAATATATTTGTCAAATTGTTTAATCTTGTGCTCATTGACAGGCTTTAGAGAGCGAGTAAAATACTTTGTGATAGTGCCCTTCCTGTGAATCTGTACACGCTCACCATCATACTTGATTTCCGAATAGATTGTCTGATTGCCGCACTTTCTGAATGCATGTGAAACAGACTTGCATCTTTCTGCTAACATTGGCTTTACTGGAATGAGGACAACACAGAAGCAGACACAGAAGAGCCGAAAGAACTAGACGGATTCTTCATTACCTTACTCAGTACCATGTCAATATCTCTAGTAGTTTGAAATATTGCATAAGCGTCCTTGTGTACACCATCAAGGATGTGCTTGGGACCTGCGTTAATTCGCAAGTTACACTCGATGAGACGGACAATCATCATGAATTCTTTTGGAGGCAAATTTTTGTAGACAACAGAATGCAGAATGGCTAGCTGTTCCGTCTCTTTAGTCTTGCCTTCCAGATTAGCGAGTATCTGGTCGACCTCTCGGAGGGTGATCTTTGGCGAATGATTCGCTGAATATCGTTTGCAATAGAATCTTGTAATGGTATCAGCCACGTCGCCGCTCATGTCAAGATCTCTTGTCATCTCTTCAACGGATTCTCCAAACAACTGTCCAAAGAGCTTGACCAGCTGTTTAGACTTAATGTTGTAAATCCGCCTTAACTCGCACGGGAGAAGAAGACGGATCCACAATCCGAGATCTTCGATAGACAGAGTTAACAATAGATCGGATACAATTCTTGTCTTTTCTCTATAGCTTGGTTCTTTGGCTATGGAATTGCAGAGGTCACAAAAGGTGGAAAATAATCTGTTGTAGCACTGAACATTTTTTGAGAGCCTAGGTTGTTGATGGTTGGATTTGGATGCAGATCGCACCATAGCAAGAATATTATTCTTATCCTCTTCAGATTTGGATGCAGATCGCATAGCAATCCTCTTCAAGGAGTTTTTCCCACCCCTTGATGTCAACGGCTGGTTCCTTAATCTTTATAGTGGTGGGTCTTGCGTTTCTAAAAGACTCAAATATACAATGGGCGTGATACCAATATGTCATTACATCACAATCATTTGAAAAAAAGTTACGGACCTTCTTTCCGATGCGAAGCTTTCCCTTTTCGCACGTTTCACTACACCTCTTACACTTGGCAGTACCTCTTTTAGGACTGTAATCGGCACAAAACAGAGTTCCTTTTATAACAGAGGGTGTTAGGGTGATTGTCGTTTCAGATTTGTATGGCAATGATGTCGTTTCAGATTCAGCTGTATTTTCTGATACAGCTTTAGCAATCACGGGTGGTTCCACAAACGGTTCCGTATTATGGTCTTCATCATCAGAAGATGTAGTAGTAGTAGAGGTTCTTGTCTGAGAGTGGGTCGTCGACATCATGGTTATGATTATAGAACGATGCTATGACAAGTCGTCTTTTGTCTTTCTAGATGTAGTTGAAAGTATGTTTGTTCTACACAAAAGCACGAGCTTTTATACGCGTCTTATTCTCTCTTTTTTTTACTTCTCTCATCAAATTTCACATTCTACCTCTCTACTATTTTATACTTTTTTGTCTTTCTCGATTCTATTATATAGATTGGTGGGATTTAATAATGATTTTTTTTTTTTTTCATTGAGCTCTAATATGATTATATATTCTTTTCCAATATATATATATATATATATATATATATATATATATATATATATATATATATATATATATATATATATATAAAAGTACCTATTAAAGTATATTTAATCCCCCTCTTTCTTTCAGGATTTATATCCTTGACTTGACAGTTATTGGAATCGATTTAATATAGGGAGCCCTCACAAAGGGTCTACTAATCTCATCTTTTTTATCGTCGTGTTCCTTCTTCCTTTTCAAATTTTCTATAGTTATAAAATCAATATTCCTCTTTATAGCAATTTTTTGTGAATCAATCAGGAAAAAGAAACAAGGTTTTCCATCGAATAGGGTATCCTCTATGACTATTAGAGAATTCACATCAAATTCTATGCTCTTCTTTCCATGAATACCGCTATTTTTCTACTCCATGTCATTTTTTCCCTAACATTAAGAGTATCGCGTCGTCGTACTTGTATTTCATTTTCCATACTAGTTTTTCGAATATTCATTGGTGGATTTCGCTAGATTCTAGACCCGCGAGATGTTTATCGTTTCGGAAACTAACTTCTTCATCCTCAAAGCATCCACCAGAATCGTAAGAACATTCAGCCCAAAAAGCACCGGTAAGAGAGTCTTGAAAAGTTTTTGATTTGAAAAAGATTTCATTCCCAATAATCGACACCTCGATAAGGAAATTGGCATTGTAATTTCTCATCATGATGATGCTGCGCGCCGCCGCTGCCACTGCTCGATGAACGGCCGGTCCCTTTCCGACTCGGCACTTTTCGCATCATGTTTCTCATAACATTTCCTGGCGTACATTAGCGTCCAATCGGGAGGAGCGTCGCCGCTTGCCGCTTCGTCTATCCACCCTCTGTGAAGACAAACCTGTCGCCAACAGTGAACGGCATCGATACCAGACTTGAGTCTCATGAATATATTCTCTTTAACCTAAAGGGTAGTAAATTGAATTAAAACTATGATGTCAGATAAATATTCGCACTGAACCATAAATTTGAAATCCGACACACTCTCTCCGACACATATCTGATATATAATTTTACCGTCCGAGTTTTCCCTAAACATATACTGGATCAAATTGTACCAGCTCGTCTTGGAGGCCGATTCTCTTTCGATAAACGTCTTGCGTTCTTTTAATTTTTGTCTTTGAACGAGGTGGTCCAACCTGGCATTAGATATGTTATTCAGATACTTGTATCCGCAGACGCCAAATGTTAAAGATAGGGATGGTTTTAGGTTTAGAGATCTTTCATAGATTTCTTCTTTTATCTCTCTTCTTCTTTTACATGGATGTATGATCTTTCCCTTCAAATCTTCAACAATATGACACGAACACCCACACTGTCTTTTGTCAATCTCACCACTACTTATCTTTCTTTTTTCTTCCTCTTTTTGACTCTCATTATATTGTTGTTGTTGTTGTTCTTCTTCTACTTCATTAGGTTCAGATATTGATAATCCTTCAAAAAAATTTTCAATAATACCAGCAATGCGTTTTTCTTTACTCTCATCGATAATACAACTAGTATCCTCTTTAAGTGAAAGTTGAGATGATGGTAATAATTCTTCTTGCTGTTGCCGCTTCTATATCATCCTTGATTAAATGTAAAATGTTAGTTTTGTCGATATCATAGTAATTATGTCCAATTATTTTGACGAATCTACAAGCCAATCGTCGAAACTTACGTTCGGTAATGCCGGATCCAAAGCCACAGAGCGGTACGAGTACGCCGTTATTAACACAGAGTCCAACTTTAAAACTGAGTACAGAGAGATGTTTATGATAAATAGGATTATCTGACTTTTTATAGATATAATTCAAAAGCAATATGAGAATATAATTTGGAGTCACGCTTCTCCGGAGGACGTGGGAAAAACACGAGGTTAACAGTTGTAAATAGGGGTGATTCGTGTCCATTTCGGCAATCTTTCCACAAAGCATGAATAATATACATCTTTCGTTCTTTTGTAAAATAACCGTAGCTACACCGTCTAGTTTATTTGATTTTTGTGTTTTTTATTTGCAGAGGTTCATCGACGATGCTACCGAATATATTCAACCGCTCTGGCGAACGACTGATGATATGACAACGGCGTTTTTTACCGGACAACGATTCGAGAATCGATGTAGCCTGCACTATCGTCTTTTTATTCTTTGCTGCCAAAGCTAGAGCTTTTTTTATAGACGACACAAAACACTGAATAGCTATGTAGGAACCAGCCACGGGAGAAAATAAGTTATACAACATCACTAATAGTTTAAAACAATTGTTAGGGAAACAAGCATGTTCTACACATTGTACATGTAACGGTTTTAGATACTGAGGAATTTTAATTCGTCGATTTCGATCGTACACTAAACTCTTACAAAACAATTTTGATATCTCGTTACATTCTATGGATATATCATCACAGCATAATCGCATTGCTGTATCATCTTCCCAGTACTTGTCTCTAATTTCGGAATTGGGTTTACTATTACCTGCTATAGTATTATTAATAGAAGTAGCGATGAAACCCGTTCGTTTATCATTATATATTGGAATTCTCTTGGGTAACAAGTGTTGTACTCTTTTCATTTCTATTTCAATGTCTCGATTGACACAGTCTTCTTTCTGGAGACGTCTCCAAATCTCCATTTCGGGATCTGTGTGTTCCATAAATCGATCATACATTTTTTCCGTAACATCATCAAAACAGTATTTTTGATTCTTGGAACAAAAGTTTTTTTTCTTCTCTACCATTTCGGTATGTTCTCGCACTAACGAATTAATATACCTGAACATCCTCTTACCACATTTTCTAATCGCTTTTGCAACAATCTTACAGTTTATGATATCTTTATTATTGTTTTCATCGTCAATACACGATTGATAATTTTCGTATAAATAATTGAGTGCGGTAATGGGCGGTTTGTCGTCTCTCGTTATGAGAGATATTGGTATTAAATTTATGGTGTGTTATATAATGTTCTATAGTTTTATCCACGTCGCTCCATGTCGTGTTTGCCATTATTGTTCTTGTTCATACAAGTAAATGTTATTAATATTAGTGAGTACATATATATATACACGCATATATTTTTTTTTATTCCTTTACCTCCCTCCACAACGCTATCACTCATGGAAAGATGTTGGTGTTATAAAAAATAAATACGAATATTATATTTTTCATTTTATTAATACACCTACATTTTACAACGTTATCGTATACACACATACTTTACATACTGATTTTTATATAATGGTCAGATAGCATTTTTCTTAAATCTGACTTGGATAAAAAATGCACATGATAATTACAAGAATAACAATGAGCAGATACAAAATAAGAGAACTTTTGACCCTCTAACGTCGAAACATTACTTTCAGTCGCTTCCGACTCTTGCATATTCAAATATTCTATTTCTTCTTTGGTTGGATTAAATTTTTTAACTCTAGATATCCACACACTCGGACGATGATAAAGATGCATGCTCGGGTTTCTGTCTCGATGTTTCGGATTGCAACAGGTAACCTTGTGTGTTGACGATGATGAAAAAAATGATTCATCGCGATAATGTCATCCTTATCATACGTATAATATTTTATCGTTCTTGTCTTTCGGGTATCATCATCATTATCGTCGTCGTTATCATGATCCTGACTAGCCATAAGGAGATGTAAATCATCTTTGATATTCAGCTCATCATCGTTGCTATTATCATTGTTGTTGTAGTTATACAAATATTTAAGAGACAACCAAACTGTAGTCGGTCCTTTTTTTTTTTATATCGTTGATCAATTTGGAACACAAAACATCTATTCTCTGAATGTCTAAATATTCAGACAAATTAATATTATTCACATTAAGAGTTTTATTAAAAGTACAAGCCTGCCAATCAGCCTTTTCATTATCACGGGTATTAATAAATACAATCATCATTGCTTGATATATTCTCTGTAAAAACATGCGTTTTCGTTAGACAAGGAAAAACTGGCGTTGTGGTGTTGATGTTCACATTGTGTTTCTATCGCGTCGATAGTACCCTCGTTATCGTCAAGTATGGTGACTCCAATTTTTAACCAGTATAAACATTTGATAAATTTCCATATTTTTTCATTGTGCGGTTTGTTGCACACCCCTGTCATTATAATATCTTTCAGCATATCCAATCCTGCACTACTAGTAATAAAAGTAAAATAATCTAAAAGACCAACTTTAAAATGAGACAAATTCCCTCCATAACTGTAAAAGTCGTCGGAGAATAATAACGCAGACATATTTATGTTGTCTTCTTATTATATATGTGTATATATATATATCTTTTTTTATATATACAAACCCCCTCTCGTTTATAGAGATATCGTGCCGCTTCTTAACGATAGATAAACCGTCCATAAAGTCAACGGAGTAAAACATCTAGCCTCCCCTAGCAGAGGGGTATACGGAAAAATATTCACGTTATTTGTTGTTGCTTCGGTGGCATCTATTTCTTCATTATATATTAAGGAGGAATCGTCATCGATATTGTTTTTTATTTTACTATCGTCGTATTCTTTGCAATCATCATCATCCCAATTCATCGAGGATTGAAATTCTTTTAGAGCTGTGAAAATTTTATTATCACTCATAAGGTGGTGGTGGTCATCATAATTCTTAGTAAAGCGTATCTTCTCGCTATACCACAAGTATGAACATTCAATTATCATATCCTTTATTGTCTTATTAGTTCGACCACCCATATCGTGTTCTCTTGGCA